CCAAAAGACCCCGTGCTGCCCACCTGCTTCTTCACCAAACCCGACAAGGTTGGTTTCTGCACCCCGAGAAATACATTTGAATTACAGAATTGTTTTCTTTTTTTACACTTTTTTTGATGCATATCTGAGCTGCTGGTGACTGTTCCCCCCCATTAAATGACGGGTCAAGATGCTCGTGTACAAACATGTATGCGGTTCTATGAAAGGTGCACAAACAGACTTGTTTGCAGCCACCTGACGTCCCCTCCTCGTCCTCAGCTTGTGTGTGCTGATTGTCCTCTATTCACAAACGAGTTCTCCGTTTCAGAACTTCAGCAACACAAAAAACTATCTGCCACCAGAGATGAAGTCTTTCTTCACACCTGGAAAGGTGAGCTTAATTGATCCTCTAGGCCTCTCGTTTTCGCCTCTTGTTGAGTGGAACGCGTATCTAACTCTTAACCCCCCCTCTCTACTCTCATCAAGCCCAAGTCGGCTAACGTTTTGGGTGCGGTGAACAAGCCGCTGTCGTCCGCGGGGAAACCGATCCAGAGCAAAGCTTCGCGTATGGAGACGGCCAGCAACGACGACCCGTCGTCCAACCCGGGCTCCCCGCAGCGCAGCAAGACCCGGTATGTGTTGTTGAGCAAGACTGTGAATCCGGTTCTGAATGTTCAAAGAGAACCTCAAGGATCTAATCGTGCATCAAATGGGGAAACGTGTTCATGAACTACACTGGACCGCTCGTATGTGCTGCTTTCTCTACGGTGTTTGTTTTTTTGTAACCGTCAGTAATTGCGGTTTCAGGCTCGACAGCACAGAAATGGATCACAGTGAAAACGAGGACATCAGCCTAAAAAGAGCCGACACCACTGACAAGGTATTTAACGCTCTCTGTCTGCTGGTGTTACGTCTTCTGCGATGTGACGGGTTGTTTAGTTTAGCTAAATGTTGACTTTTTAGAGGTTTTTGTAAATTTAAATTAGTCTTATCTGCGTCATCGACATGGTCATACGTTACTATCTTGTGTATATGATGTCTGTAAGCTCCAGTTATCATCATCATCATCATCATTTAAAATCCAACACAAGGAAACATATAATTATTATAATGCTCTTGGAAAGATGGCAGGTTTGTATTTATTTATATTTAATCAACCTTATATCGAGGAACCAAAGTGCTACTTACCTCTGATTGTGTTTTGGATTAGAACATAACACAAATACAAAAAAATGTTTTTTTCATATAATGTTATGTATTAAAAGCAATGAAGCTGACATTCTTAATCCTATTTTAGGAAATTATAAATAAATCAGAAGTTCCACAGTAACTTAGGACCAGTAGAGAGTTCTGCTGCTGTGATCCAGTTGAGTGTTTCCAGTCATAAACCCCGAGTGAGTCTCTGTTTAGATTCCACTGTGCAAACACCCGCTGGATTCAGGTAGAGATAAGACTTGTGTGTTGACTTTGTGTTGACGATCATTCACGACACGCCGCCGTCGTCGGTTCCTTGGTGTTGAGCTCTGGACTCCTGCCATTAAGCAGCTTTTGTTTTCTTCCTCTAAATGTCAGAGAATCAAAGTTTCTTCTAGCACAGAAGTAACCATGTTGCATCCCTTTTTTTAAAGTCTAACAGGCTTGTCACAATATTTCCAAGCGCTATCTGATTTATTAATCCTAAGAAGATGGTAGATTAGAAGACGCTTATTCGCACGGCGAGCAAAACGATGCAGACGAGTGGGAAGACATGTCCTTTTTATAGGAAAGCGGCGACTGATGTGTTGTTTTCTCACAGGATGTTGAAAAGCCCCGCGGCCGCAAACGAGCACTGACCTCCGGCGAAGACCAGGACGTCAAGCCGAAGCGCGGCCGCAAGAAGGCGGTGGCCAACGCGGCCCCGGTGGCCGAGTCCGAGGACCAGTGGGACGAGGACACCCGGCCGGAGGACGAGCAGAACAGCCCGCCGAAGAAGGGACGGCGGGGACGGCCCCCGAAGTCGGCCACGCCGGGTCAGGAAACGCCGGCCAAGGGGAAGAGGGGCCGAAAGAAGGCCGCCCCTCCGCCAGAAGAGGAAGAGGAGGAGGACGCAGAGCCGGCGGAGGAGGAGGAAGAAGAGGACGCAGAGGCGGTGGAGCCGGCGGAGGAGGAAGAGGATGACGGGAGCAGTGAAAACACGGAGTTGAAGACCAAGGCAGGCAGGCCGGCCAGAACGCCGCGGCGATCACAAGGGTAAGGGCGCAGAAACGTCTGCCGTTGGCTCCGGGGTTTCAATTTCTGTCTCACACTCTTCGTCTTCGTATCTGCAGGACGGAGTCGGCAGAGTCCACACCGCAGAAGAGGAGAGGACGTCCGCCCAAATCGGCCCAGCCCCCTGCCAAGAAACCAGCGTAAGATGATGTTTTTTCTTCTAAATCCCAAAAAAGTCCTGTGTGGGGTTTTTTTTTGTGAGGGGGGGTTGTTGTGGAAGCTGAAGCACCAGGAGGAGGCAGATCTTTTTGAGGAGAATATTTCTCATGAGCTAATCTTAGAATGCAGTGAGTTTGAGCAAAGACGATATTTCTAAATATTCTTTATTCTTTATCCCCCCCCCCCATCCCTGTATCCCCTCTGCTGTATCCAGGCGCGGTGGGCGATCGAAGGCAGCTGCTGCTAAAGACGACTCTGAAGAGGAAGAAGACGAGGAGGAGGAGGAAGAGGAGGAGGAAGAGCCAACACCGAAGGTAGGCACAGTATTGACATGAATCAGATATGGGATATCTGAATATCAGACTCATAAGTGGAAGACTTTCTAAGCTTCCTGTTCCTTTGTCTCCACCACTTTTTCTGCAGGGACGCAAGAAGCCAGCGGGGCGAAGAAGATGAGCAGAAACGCGAGGGAGGACAAACGGAGACGGCGCGTTGTGGAGGAACGACGTAGAAAAGAAAATATGGACATTGAACTTTTTTTAACCTTTTCATACGCCGACGCTCCTACTGTTACACAAGTTCACACACATGCATATGCCACGTGCACGCTGCATCAGTGCATCCTTGTCGTCAGCTGTGGGTTGTTGCATTGTGTTGCGTTGTGAAGATGTTCGCCACATTCAGTCGAAATCATTTTAACAGGAAAAAAAAAAAAAAAAAGAAGCCCACTTGTAAATAGTCTCTTATGTCTGTTTCATGTTCTGTTGTTGTTTGATGCTGACTGGGGGGGTGCTGTAAAGCCTTTTACCCGCCAATATTATTATTATTAAAATGCTTCCATAAAGCAATATCAGTCATTCCTTCTGTCTTTGGATTAACTGTGTTTAATTGTCATTTTACTTAAAAGGAAAACATGCGTTTTTGTTGACAGATCTGTATATTAAAAACTTTTTTACTATGTATTGGGAAAAATTAAAAAATGTCAGAAACCCAAATGTCCAAATGTAGAGTTGCCTCTGGATAAAGGTTGTAGTGTGCGTCTCCTTTTGAGGTTTGTACCTAATGGTAGATGGAAGTCGTGAGCAGCTGTGGTTGTAGTGTTTGTCACTGCTGATTAACGTCACATCCACCCAGTCAGATCCCCGTTGTATCAATATAATTCTCTATAAAACCTTACATGTTTGATTTCTCTGTTTCTGGTTTGTCCTCACGGATAAAGTTAATCTGCAATTGATCCTTTTTCTGTTCTGCCTTTAAAAGGTAAGTACGGGTTAATATGTTCTACTCAACACGTCATACAAGTGTAACTATTGTTACCATAACAGTGATCAACCATAACTAAGCTGTAGGCCGCATTCAGCAACGAGCTGCTGAGTGACGCAAGTCTATAAAAATGATGCACCTCTTTTTGTCAGGTAATAAATTAGGAGACAGGAACTTGGACGTGACTTCAGGCCACTGGAAGACGTGAGTCCTAGTTTAAGCTATAGCGGCACGTGAGACGACACGTTACATTCACTGAACTGGCCGAATAGTTTCTTCCCTCCGTGATCTTGAAAAGAACGCAGCGTTATGGCCTTTAGCTGTGTGCGGCCCAGATAGACCGCCGCACAACGAAAAATGACATTCTTCACGCATGTCTGTTGCTGAGCTGTACCACATTTAGGCTTTAATTAGCCAAGCTGTGATTTAAACTGAGTTTCAAAGGTAAAACAATTGTAGACATTTTAAATGTATTCATACAATTAGTTGTTGGGTCTATAAAATATTAAAAAACAACTTAGAAACGTTTTGTCAGCTAACAATCAGAACAGAACATTATATCGGAGTAAACTAAATGATTTCCTCTCAACTGACTTTTTTTTTTTCATTGATTATTATTTTACTTTCAAACGTTCATTAAAAAAAATAATACATGTAAACTACAAGTTTAAAATCTTAAAGTGCACCTACCCGCACATGTTGTATTACAAACACACACACTAACAGCCCTCTTGAGTTATTTATGCAGGGGGCCACATGGACCACCCTGTCCCGCAGTAAGAGCCCTGAGTTTCCAAGCAACCAAGCAGAAAGGCGATAAGGAAGCGAGGTGACCATGGTGCAGCAGAGGGAACACCGGCTCTGCTGTTTGTTTACCCCCCCCCCCCCCCTTATCCTCCCCCCCTCTCTCCCGGACTGAACTTGATCCGGTGAGCGACAGAGATGAGTTTTCTCTGCTGCTGATGACATGTGGCATTAAATGGAGTTAAGGGACGTCCTGGCCCTGGAGGATGCATGGTAATGGATCATATTATTCGGGCTTTTTTTGCACCTGGGTCGCTTCGTGTCTGACTGAATCAAATTACAAAGTACAAATGCTCATCTTGAATAATAACAATAAAAACAAACACGTCCATTGGTTATTTATCCCGTTTACTTGAAGCCACCGTGTACCCGCTCAGCAAGGCGGCGCGTTGTGCGCGCAGACCGTGCGTGCGTCAGGTGCGTTGGCTAATAATTGACAGATCGCTTGGAGGCGACGCGTGTGGCGGGTTCACAGCTGGCCGGCTGCTCTCCGCCGCGCGCTCTATAAAGCCCCCCCCCCCTCTCCCCGACCGACCGACCGACGGGGGCCCCCTGCGAGCACGCTTGAATGAACACTGAGAGCGCGGCAGCACCCGGACACCGGAGGCTGCAGCAGGTCCGACGCGCACCATGAGCGCCCCGCTCGCCCTCGTCACCTTCCTCGCCATCGCCTCCGCCGCCGCCGCCAAGCCCAACGCCGGCCTGAGGACGTGGGGTCGCTTCGACAAGCTGCCCTATCCGGGCGACAAGGCTTTCCTCTACGACACCTTCCCGGAGGACTTCATGTGGGCGGTGGGCACGGCGGCGTACCAGGTGGAGGGCGCGTTCGAGAAGGACGGCAAGGGGCTCTCCATCTGGGACACGTTCCGGCGCGGCGGCAACCGGATGGCCACCGGGGACGTCGGCAGCGACAGCTACCACAACGTGTACAAGGACGTGCGCGCCATCGCGCAGCTCGGAGTCAGCCACTACCGCTTCTCCCTCTCCTGGTCCAGGATCTTTCCCAACGGCACCCGCGGGAGCTACAACGAAATCGGCACCAACTACTACCGGACCCTCCTGCGGAGGCTGAAGGAGATCCGCGTGCAGCCGGTGGTCACGCTCTACCACTGGGACCTGCCCGACCACCTGCAGCAGACCCTCGGCGGCTGGAGCCACCCGGAGATTGTGGGCATTTTCAAGGACTACGCCGATTTCTGTTTCCAGACGTTCGGGGATGACGTGAAGTACTGGATCACTATCGATAACCCGTTTGTGGTGGCGCGGCACGGGTACGGCACCGGGGTGGTGGCTCCCGGGATAAAGAACGACCCCGACCTCCCGTTCCGCGTTGGGCACAATCTCATTAAGGTGAGGTTTTGTCCTATATTTAATCAAACTTAATTGTTTATGGTTAATTATCATGCGTAATTCCCCTCTTCATTGGTTCTATTAAAGTATTCACTTGAGTAAAAACTAAATCTTTTCCCTTTCACAATTTTGAACAAGTCCTATATTTTGTCTCACTATTTGCTTTTTAATTTTGATCTTTGCATTTGACCCGTGAAGCATTTCTATTCAACTGCACTGAACTAAATAAATACATTTAGCCTTTCTCATCCCCATCGACCCGCTGCGCCCACCGTCCTCCCCCAGGCTCACGCGGCCGTGTGGCACCTCTACGACCGCCACTACCGCCCCCGGCAGCGGGGCCGGCTGTCCATGGCGCTGGCCTCCCACTGGATCAAGCCCAGCCGCACTCGCCTGGAAAGCCTGCGAGAGTGTCAGTGCTCCCTGGACCACGTCCTGGGCTGGTTCGCCCGGCCTCTCTTCGTCGACGGGGACTACCCCCCCTGCATGAAGGCGAGGCTGGGCTCGCGGCTGCCCTCTTTCACCCCGGAGGAGAGGGCCCAGGTGAGGGGAACGGCCGACTTCTTCGCCCTCTCCCACGGAGCCGCCTTGAGCTTCCAGCTCATCAACGACAGCCTGAAGTTTGGGCAGCAGGAGGAGCTGGACCTGCGGATGCTGCTCTACTGGGTCAACGCCGAGTACGACAAGCCGCCCATCTTCGTGGTGCAGAGTGGGTGGTATGTATCCGACGGGTCCATTCGGTGCTCCGGTGTCCTGTTCTGTTGTTTGCCGTATACCGAGGGACACCTTTTTTGTGCTGCTACACAAACACAGGTATGTCCTCGGCAACACTAAGACCGAAGACCCCAAACACATGTACTACCTCAAGAGGTTCATCGCAGAGGCCCTGAAGTGTGAGTAACAAAACGCAGCAGTTGTTTCCCTACACGGGCACGAACCGTCTGACGGTCCGTCTGTCCGTGTCAGCCATCGTCATAGATGGAGTGAATGTGATCGGATACACGGCCTGGTCCCTGATGGACGGCTTCGAGTGGCACAGGGAATATGGGATACGAAGGGGACTGTACTACGTGGACTTCAACGCCCCTGACATGAAGAGAGAGCCCAAGACGTCCGCCACCTTTTACAGGTAAACAGCGTCACGTCGCTGGTGGCCAGTCTTGGTGGCGTCTCTTTTATAAGAGGAAAATGATACAAGCAATGATGCCTTACAGAGGGAAGAGGGGGGAGGAATGGGGGGGACATCACTCCTGACATGGCTCCTCCTGAAGTGATGATTGTGCATTATTCTTAAAAGAAACGTCATCCAGAAGAACGGTTTCCCAGAACTGCCAGAGAACAAACCGGCACAAGGAAGCTTCCCGTGTGACTTTGCCTGGGGGGTATCAGCCAACTCCATACAGGTGTGTGTATGTGTGTGTGTGTGTGTGTGTGTGTGTGTGTGTGTGTGTGTGTGTGTGTGTGTGTGTGTGTGTGTGTGTGTCTGTGTGATATAGGGGAGTAACTTGAGAAAACATTAACACTGTAGTAACTTGTACTGAGAGATTCAGTACCAACCTGACTAATATGTAGTTAAGTATTATCACTATTTATATTATATCATCATTATTTCTATCATTATGATCACTGTTATATTGTCTTTTAGTGTTGCGAGGTACAGTAGCTGCGGTTCCTCTGCTCCGTTCCTAAAAGTTGCATCACTCAATTTTCAAAACCACATTTCACATTTCATGGAGAAAGTCCAGCTCAGAAACGGCCCCTACGATGGATCCTCTCTTAATCATAAACCACATCACATGACCTCATGCCGGACCAGCGCTGCCAGCCGGGCCAAACATCTCAGGGCCGAGTGGGTTGTTTTTTATTTGCGTTCGCGTGTAATAGGTCCCCACGGGGTGAGAGGGCGACTGAGTGCATGTTTACATTGTTGCTTCTGTTTCTTAGGTGGAGACCACGCCCAGCCAGTTTGCAGACCCCAGCGTGTACTTGTGGAACATCTCCAACAATGGAGAGCTGATGAGGCTGGAGGGCTTCAGCGCACCTCCTGTACGCCGGGCCGCACACTGCGCTGATTACGCCACCATCCGACAACAGGTCGTCCCTCCTACCAGTCCGACCTCTATCGCTCCAATAGAAACAAATGATAGACACATTCACCGTGTGTGTGTGTGTGTGTGTGTGTGGTCGGACCCTGAGGGATCACTTGTGTTTTTCTCCTTAGGTGGATGAAATCCGGCAGGTCGGAGTCAACCACTTCCACTTCTCCCTCAACTGGTCAGCTGTGGTGCCTACAGGCGACGTGGCTCATCCTAACACCACCCTGCTGGGCTACTACCGCTGCTTCACCAGCCAGCTGCTGCAGGCCAACGTCACGCCCGTGGTCACTCTGTGGCACCACACGCGCCTGCGCAGCAGCCTGCCGGCCCCACTGGACACGGCCAACAAGTGGCTCAACAGGTCGGACGCACCGCCGAGCCTTTTAGCTCATTTTTTCCTCATTTTAATTTCTATTTTGGATTGTTTACGTGAGAGCGGGAGAATCTGTTCTCGGCAGGCTAATAAACACCCGTCTTTTATCAGATACGGTTTATTACAATTTACCCTGGTGGGATGTAAACGTGTGTGTGCTCATCGCGAGGCCGCTGCCACGGTATCATCTTTCCCTTTCCTGTCATAAAGAGCTATCACTGAAACCAGGGGTTACAATATTGGTATAATGGGACAATCTAGTGCACTGGCATTTTAACCTGAACTGGGACAAGTGAATGTGACAATGTAATAGATCATTTAGGATATACATTTATTTGTGTCAGTGTGTTTTAATACATACTTTTGTAACATTGTGACTGCTTTACATCTGAATGTCATGCCTGCAATTAAACGCAAGCTCAGCGCATTACTCAAATTTTACCCATATCTTATTTTGTTCCCAGAGAGACCCCAAAGGCGTTCGCAGACTACGCCAGGCTGTGTTACAGAGAACTGGGGGCCCACGTGAAGATGTGGATCACTCTGAATGAGCCCAACGATGAGATGGTGACCTACCAGGAGGGTCATCACATGCTGCAAGCGCACGCTCGGGCCTGGCACGTCTACGACAACGAGTTCAGGCACGCACAGGGAGGAAAGGTCAGTACAGGGAATTTAATTACAATATTGGTTATATAAATGCACTTGAATACTTTTTTATAACGGTACGTCATTTTACAATTCAAATGTTCATCTTTTGGTGAATTTTGACGTTTTTTTTTGTCGTTTTTTCCTCTCGCTGCTTTCAAAACGTCCCCGTCCCGCCGTGTTCTGTGTTGTGTCCAGGTGTCCCTGGCCCTGCACATGGATTGGGTGGAACCGGCGTTTTCGTTCAGCCGCGAAGACGTGGAGCCGGCCAAAAGGGTTTTAGACTTCCGCGTTGGCTGGTTCGCAGAGCCGGTCTTCGGCAGCGGGGACTATCCTCTGGGGATGAGGAGCTGGCTGAGGCAGCTCAACTCACTGGAGTACGAGTACTTTCATTCAATGAAGACAGCAGAGCAGCGTTTCTAACTGGGATTATTCAAAGATGTAATATTATTAAGCCGGATGTTGTTGTGTGCAGTATATCATTGATGAAAAACATCTTACGTACACACAATTAATAATTAATGGGGGGGAAAAAATCGATAACTACTCGTTGCACTTCTGAAATGTGTCCCCCGTGTAATGATCTGCGTGTGTTCCTCCTCAGGCTGCCGGTGTTCAATGAAGGGGACAGAGAGCTGGTTAGAGGGACGTATGACTTCTTTGCCATTAGTCACTTCAGCACCGAGCTGGTGACACACGCCATGGAAGACTCGTAAGCCAAAGTCCGCTCCTTTGCCATCACCTTCGTGGTGACAGGTGACGTTACGAGGGGGAAACGAGAGGAGGAAGAGAGCAGAATGAGCCACCAGGCCCCTGAGCACCACCTTTATGGCGTTTACTAAAAAGACACATATTATGCTTCCAGGTGTTGGGCAGTAAAGATAACCTCAGGTCCATGTGTGCAGGTACACCTACACGGCGATGCTGGAGGTCCAGCAGATGATAGACACCACGTGGATGAAGTCTCCCAGGCCCGTTGTGCCCTGGGGTCTGAGGAAAGCCCTCAACTGGGTGAGGCTTCTCTTCCGTGACCTTTGCAGTCTTGTTGATATTAAGAATAGTTGAATGTGAATAGACTGGATCGTTCAGTGAGGGAGAAGAAGATTAAGATTTCCCTAAATAACTGCCATTGGTTTTTGATATTTTACTAAATGCAGTAAAACCACAAATGCTTTGTTTTGTTGCTTTGAAATGTTTGTTTCGATGTGATAAACTGTGACTGACTGACTGTCGTCGCTCATCTGCTGTGTCAGGTGAGGGAGCACTACCGCGACGTACCCGTCTATGTGATGGCCAACGGGGTACAGGAAGACCCGGCCCGCTTCAAAGACAGCCTCCGAGTCTACTACCTGTACAACTACATCAACGAGGCGCTGAAAGGTGACACGAGGACGCTTATCTAGCCGTGGAGGATTTGTAGGATCCAAAATCAGTGATTTGGGTTTTTCCCCTTAGCGGCCTCAGCGGGGCTTAATTATTAGACAGGTATTTAGGTCACTGACCCCTGAATAGTCAGCTGACTCGTAACAGTTATCAGCAAACATACACTCATCACCTGAATCGGGGAGTCGGGGTCACCGGCGATCCATTTCCCCGTCATGGTAAAGTTTAGCAGGTTACGCTCAGCGGAGACTTTGGCTGCCACGTTAAAAACATTGCAGTGTCCCGCTACGATGTGCACATAGTGTCGCGTTGTTTTGTTTTTGAGTGTGCTCTTTAACCACCAGGGGGCAGCCACACACAGAAAGCCGCTCGTACGTATCGCAATATATTATTCTTATATATTGGGTCTAATACATCAACTATGACATACGAGGAGTTTATCAATTCATATTTTTTATTTTGAATTATTTGATCTTGAAACTTCTTGGTCTACTTTCTATTTTTTTTTATAAATGTGCAGGTAAAAACAAATACTACTTTTTAAAGGATTGGGAGTTTTGTATTTATAACACTCAAATAATATTTCAACCCTCCACATTAAGCACTTTAGAAAAATGGTATACTTTTAAATATGTATCACGAACCTGTTGACAGTATTTTCCCGCCCACCGCAGCTCACACTCTGGACGGCGTGAACCTGAAGGGTTACTTCGCTTACGCCCTGAGCGACCAGAGGGACCCGGGCTTCGGCCTGTACGGACACATTCAGGAGGAGGCCATCGTCAAGGCCTCCCTCTCCAACTATCGCAACATCATCAAGCACAACGGCTTCCCCGTCCAGGGAGCCGCGGCCCAACCGTGTCCCAGCGTCCCTCAGCCCTGCCCGGGCTGCCACGTGCTGGCCAAGAAGTCTGTGGTGGGCTTCCTGACTCTGGTGGGCTCAGGGGTGCTGATCACCTTGGGGCTCATTGTCTACTACACAGCCAAGAGACACAAAGAGTACTACTGATGGTTGTGACTGGGATTTGGTTTTTATGAATCACTCAAGAATTGAATTGTTATCAGCTGCAGATGATGTTTTTATCCATTTTCCATTTATACCCTTAAGATAATTTATGCATAGAATCCAAAAGAAGGAAACTTCTGATTGTAGGGGAAAGAGGATGTGTGTGTGTGTGTGTCGGCCTTTGAGGACGGACAGAACTGAATAAACTATTTTTAATGTTTTTGTAATAGTAATGAGTATTTGTTTTGCTTATAATACAGTTTCTTAAATGAGGTTAGAAAACAAACACATTTGTTGGTGTGATGGAACGCAAATTTCAATCCTTGAAGTTTGCGTAGGCATTCTTATGTTATAAGACACGGGTGATTGTGGATTTCATTATTAAGAACAAAGAACAGTAGACTTATTTTTTAAATACACAAAGCAATTTATTGTTACAATATACTTTTGATACAAATAATTGCCTGCTTCTATCAAAACGGCTATGTTTGGATTGTTTGACCCCCGCAAGTGACAGTTCAAGGTTTACAAACTATGTACAGTAATGTGTTTTGGGGCAACAACCCGCGCATTGCAAAAAGCTGTTATGAGTCATGTTGATAATATCACCAGCAATAGCCGGAAATCAACAACGAAAAGTATCCGTATTCTACTCAGAGTCAAAACATCATCCCATCGAGGCCGTCCTCCATGAACTTCTTGTAGACGGCCATGAACTTGGCGGTGAAGGCCTCGAGGTGGTAGATGGCTTTGCTGCCCAGCTGCATCCTGTGCTCGTAGTAAGCTGCCATGTGGGCCACCTCCGTCTTCAGCTGACCGTCGCAGTTGCTCAGCAGCTCGGTCACCAGACCCTGGCAGGGGATTCGGACGAGTAAAGTGAACACTCAAACGTCACCGTGAAGCAGTCTCACAGAGGACGGCGTGATCGGTACCTTCATAATGATATCGGGAGGGATGCAGTGCGTGAGCAGCTCGTACAGCCTGGCGCGAACCTCCAACAACCTGGAACCGACACCAGAGATTCAGCGTTGTAATAAGCCCCCTGCCCCCCCCTCACAAATCTGATTTACTCTCCTTAATTTCTACAGAGCAAAGAAAATCCTCCTTTCTCTCTCCTACCTCTGAGGGCTCTGCTGGCTGACGATGGCGTTGGCCGTTTCCCTCAGGTAGACCTCCCAGTCCGTCTGCGGAACGTCTTGGTCTGCCGAGAACGGATACCTGGGAACGATTAATTCAGTCTAGAGTGAGCGAATCCTTCTCCCCCCACGCTGATCCAAAAGGTCACGCTGTGGAGGAAAGGACAGCGCGCGTTGTGACGGCTTACTGTTGCACTCTGCACGCCTCGCACATCAAAAGGGCCTTGCGGAGGTTACGACCAGACTTTTCGGTGATTTGTTTGGCCAGTTCCGGTGGGAGGAGTAGACCCTCCTTCTTACAGATGGACGTCAAAACACCGCAGACCTGGCGGACAGTGATAGCGCAGAGAGAGGGACAAATGGGGTGAAAGGTAGACCTGGATTGTGATTATTCAAAATGTGCCGCCGCCTTCAGGAGGAGTCCGAGCTAACGCATATCGTCTCCACGTTACCTCTTCTGTGCTCGGCAGAGGAACCCTGATGGCCAGACAACGGCTCCGAATGGGCCCAATGACTTTAGAGGTGGAGGTGGAGCAGAGGATGAGACGGCAAGTGGACATGTACTTTTCCATCGTCCGGCGCAAAGCGTGCTGGGCATCCTTGGTGAGCCTGTCCACCTCTGTAAGCAAGACCACTGAAAAACACAACAGTGGCGGTCAGATATGATGTTTTCACAAGGTGGAATGATGATGGAGGGATGTGATTTATTTTTATTTTTATGACCTTTCTAAAAACATGGACCTGCATTCACAAGTCAAAATGACTCGTAGGTATTCGGCCTTTGCTACCTTTGAACTCTCTCTGGGTGCTTGACTGGATCTGCTGTGACTGAGCCACGGTCTTAATCAGCTCCTGAATCACCACACGGTCCTGGTTCCCAGCATCACTGTTAGGAACGGCGCGCGCGCACACACACACACACACACACACACACACACACACACACACACACTCTCTGTAAATCACACGGAGCCAGACCGCAGTCCTCTAAACAACACAGAGCCACAGACTTTCTTACCCGACCTATCAAAATAAACACGCGCCACTTGGTTAAATGATTGACCAATCAAATGATACATGGGGAAGGTTTGCAGAGCAGACACCTAATAATAACAACAACAACAACAACTACAGCAATCAAGTAAACGCATTAGAGTAAAGAATTCACTGCAATGAAGTGAAATTATCTCCTGCAAATGCCTCCTAAAACTGTGATCAAGTGCAGTACTCAAGTAAAAATACCTGGCGGCTTATAAATCATGAAGTTACCTCGGGTTGACTTCCAAGTGATAGTTGCTGGCTATTGTGTTAATCTCTATTTTCTTCTTGGAGGGGGCCTGGAGATGACAAACACAGAACACAGTGTTTATCCCCCGGAAGAGGAGAGCTGTAACCTCAAGCCCCGACTGTAAACTGTATCGTAGGATCAGCTGGGACACTTTGTCCCACGTCGTCTCACCACGACGGTCTGGTGCTCGATGCGCAGCTTCTCCACGCCGGCTCCGTACAGCTCCCTCAGCAGACACATGATGCGGGTCTTCTTCCCGGCGCCGGACGGCCCGTACACCAACAAGTGGGGGAAGTCGCCACATTGAACCTGAAACGAACATTAATTATAAAACGTGTGTTTTTTTTGTTTTTTTTACTTGTTGGATATTCACACGTACGTTTGCCTGGGCTTCACCGGACTGTGATGCTAATGCTAATGCTAATGTTGCCTGGTTACGGTTAACGCAGCACGCAAGCGGGTCGTTACTCTTACCAGGTTTTTCAGCTGAGTCGCTTGATCTTTGTGATAGTCGAGTTTCCCGAGGGAAGTCGGTCGATATTTGTCCACCCACAAACTCATTGTCTTATAAATTCAATAACCGTAATGTTGCGCGGTGACAGCTTGTATCCAGTTGACGAAACTCCCGCGAAATAGCGTTCGTAAGTCGACCCGCGCTGTTACTTCCGCATTGTGCTACGGAGTCTCCGCGGGGTCAAAAAGGCTGCAGGCGAGAGGTTAATCCCCCCTCAGGAGTCAGGACTGAAAGTGGGCCGCTGGACACCGGACGTGTCTCGAGTTATTCACAGGTTTGGTCAGAATGCTATTTTGTAGTGTTAATTAATTGTATACAGCACTTTGAGCGTGGCCAGTTAGCGTTAGTGAGCGATGTACTGGACATTTTTTACCGGTTATTATAATTTACACAAAGACATCTTGTTGGAAGAAAGCCCAGGAGAGCACAAAACGTTAAGAGACCCAGCAGTAAATAGTTCACCCACCAATAAATGCATTGCACTTATTAAATGTAATTTTTACCCTGACCCCATCAGTAAAGCAAAGCTCTACACACAGTGAATCCATATCATTTTTTCGTCAGCTGCCAGTCAGGAAAGTGCACAAATTGTATTTTCATATTTTCTTTCATACTCATCCGACTTCATGCATGTGAATGTTTGTTGTCAAAATCAAGTTTTGTTCTGTCTAATATTTCCTATTTCATGCTGTTTTCTCTTATTGTTTTATTGTGTACTGAATCAGTTTTTCCTTTTACCTGCTTTTCTTTAGCATGACCCTGGTAAATATACCTTTCTATGACAGGAATGTTGTATATGTAGGAGCATGTCTCAGCAGGTTGGCGAAGCTTCTACTGAAATGCTTGTTTGGGTTGAATTAATTAGGGCAGTGAGACATCTGGGACAGTAGGTGGAAGTTTTTCAAGTTCATGCAAGATAATTGTCATCAGATAACTGATGTAAATTCAGTATTATGAATACTGTGTTGTCTTTTCATGTAAAGGAACTATTTCAAAGTTCAGGTCACCTCTTTGTTTGAAACTCTTTGGTCAGCGATAGATCACAGACGTTGTTGTGAAAACTGTTAGTTATAATAACTAGGATCACATAACAATTAAATATACAGGATGAATGCTATCCTATTATATCCATATTTCCATCGCAATTCTTCATCAAATTAATGAATTTTAATGAAACAGCCAAAATCCAAAATACCTCAACAAGCAAATGAACTCTGTGTAGAACATAATTTTATATGTTTGTGGGTGGAGAGACATTACAGATAGCTATTGAGATTATAATAACTGGGACCTTAAGTCCTCTAACATGACCAGATCTCCCCCCCTCCCCAAAGACCAAAGTCCAACAGGCCTCAGCAGGCAAAAGGTCCTTAATGTTAATGTACAAATAACAGGTTTGTACTCTTGACCTACAACACATGCAATTCTATGTTTGCTGGCAAACGTGAGGGATTTCCATAAGACCATGAATCCTTTCGTTCTAATCAGGGCTTACAGTGTTGCTGTAGTTACAGAAGGTATGAATTGAGAGATTTTTTAGAGAAGATGACAACGTGTTTAAAGCGTTGCTGAATGTTTTGTTGAGGAATGTGCTTCCAAGCAAAAAAAAAAAAAAAAAATCCTTTGCCTCAGGCATCATACATCACTGGGTGAAAAGGAGGAATGGAGATTGAAAGCTGCGACTCAGACGGCGAGAATTTTCATCTTATTCTTTAGATGTGTGTTAAGTTATTTATTCAGTTTGATTATTCCACAACAGAGCCCTACGTTTTCATTTTCAGTGATGCTTTCAGTGCATCATTTATTTTTCTCTCTCGCATACGCTTGCAAAGTAACACGCACGCACACACACAAACCCACGCACACACACTTGCACAGGTAGCTCAAACACCTGCCTGTGTAACTCACCGTCTTCTTGTTGAGCTAATGGAGGGGAGGGGAGAGCATTCCTCACCCTTTCCTTTTTTCTTCCTCACAGCATTTTGCGTATTTTCAGAGGTAAACTCACGGCTTCATGCAGCTTGAACTTGAGCTTTGCGTTGCCTCGGATATCCTTCCGACTGCTCTGCTGGATGTGCTCTTTGATGACACAACTTGCGTACAACGACATCTGGTATGTGGAAATATGAGTTTTGTCTTTCTATGAAAAGCAGCCTATTGTTTCTCAAATGCTTTTTAATAAGCAGATTGCAGTTGCTTATGCTTAGTTATGGCTGTCTAGATTAAGTCATTTTTTTGTATTCAAATTAAGATGAATAAGATTGAATTCATGTAGAATGTTTTTTTCACTGACACAGCAAATTGTTTCCGCAACTGTGCAGGTGGAACCTCATTTATTTGTTTCACTTATACATGCTGTTTGTGATATGACTTTTACCGTATTTTTTTAAGACCATCCAGTGGGTGTTGGTCTTAAAAGAAGAAGAAAATTGCCAGGCAAGGAAATTGTGTGTTGGCTTGAGCCCAAAATATCCAGCATGAAAATGTGTTTGTCTCGAAAAAGTCTTAAAAACTTCAGAGTAGTGCGCTAACTACTATCTAGTACTAATATAATATCCACAATACTCACAGAATCCAAATAGTGGGAATTTCAATTTTGCTAAAATGGTTAAATTGAACTGCAGCACTGGGCCACGTCTTACTGAGAGGAAGAAGAATATCGATTGGTTGATAAACTAAGTATCAACAGCAGCTGCGTCTGTAAGCAAGTCCAGACCTCCTCATCTATTTAACAGAAACAAATATACATGTGCTTATTCACATAATGTTCAAACGTGTGAACGTGAATCAATTTGCCCAAAGTTACAACTTGTCTCTCCTGTTTTATCTCCTCTCTCCAGCTCAGGTATCAAAGGACGACCCTGGGCCATTCAATATGTGTAAATATCCTCCATTCGCTCATTATTTTAGCAGCTGTACGTGATCGGACAGTTCACCCGGCTCTGCTTGAGTGAGCCTCCATTGTGATCGCCGCAAAGGGCTCGGCAGATGAGGACCGGCCCCGCCGCGATGCGTGACAGTCCAGACGCCGAGGTGCCTGTTCCCAAACAGTCCACCAGGCACAATCACCCGGTGGGCGCCACTTTGGAAGTTCAAGTTCCCCTCTTGACTCGAAGCTCCAGCATGTCTGAACCCGTTCCCCTGCGACGTTGTGCTCCGGGTCCAGTTGCCACTCACGCTCAAAGGTGGAAGCAGCTGAAGGAGGACGTCAGCTATCCCTGTGATAACACTGAGCCTGCCTCAAAGCACAACGGACCCACTGAACGCAGACAGAGTTCAGACGTGCCTCCTGGAACAGGTCACGACATAGAGAAATGCTGCTGCAACCATCTCCCGGCGTCTGGGATCCCGCCGCAGGGCCGCTTGGATCTGCCAAGAGTGGTGAAGCACAAGCCGAGTGCCGTTGTGTTCTGTGGTTGTGAGTGTAGCCCTGACAACCAGGTGACGTCTGACGGCGGGGATTCCTCCCCATCCGCCGCCGAGGACGACTTTCCCCAGGCGTCACAATACAAGGAGTTCCTGGTCAGTCGTCACAGGAGAAACTTGAACAGGAACAGGAAGTGCTCGAGGAAGAGACAGGATGCACAGCCTAATGGTGCAGCGGCTGGCAGAAAGACCACCGACGGGGGGAAAGCCGCGTTCACAGGTGGCCTGGAGGAAGAGGAGCCGCCGCGGAACGACGGGAAACAGGTGAGAAAAACAAGACCGGAGCAGAGTGATGACACTCGCCAAGAAGTCCTGAAAGCGATCCAGTAGCTTCACGCTCAGGGCTGTTTTTACTGCAGACGAGTTGACCTCTCCAAGGAGGAGAAGCTCTCATGATATTTACAACAGCTCTCTTTTATTTAAGCTTCACCGGAAGCCATGAGCCTGAAACTGAATCAGCTAAATGGAATTGAGCCTTCATTCATTTCATTATGTAACAAATCCATCAGTTAAAAAATAGGCCTATTTTGAAACCTTGAACCTACTTTCACCACTTGAGGGCAGCAGATTGTCTGTAACTGCTCTACCGCGCTGCCTGGACGCTTGGATTTATTTTCCTATTGTCCATTGTTTTACTTTAATAGTATATTTAAATATAGTATAGTTAATAGTAAGTATATATTTCATATAATTATAGTTTGATTGCCAGCTGGGAACGATGTAAATTATCGCAACATTCACATGCGAGGCAGTTGCAGAAGGTTGCAGAAGGTTGCAGAATCCATAGATGCAGAAATGTGTGCGTTTTTAATTTGTATTACAACGCAGTGATGTCAGTGGTTTGATTACGGCTGGTTCATCTTTCTTACATTCATTGCCCTCTCCCTCTTTTTCTTCTTCCTTGTGTTACGTGAAAACATAAAATCTAATCATAACATATCCTTTTATGCTACCAAAATATATTGATACAGAGTTCATAATATTCTGGAATATTTATGTTTGAAGGGAAAGAGGAAAAACTGAATAAAAAATTTTGGCCGCTATAAACTGAATCATAAATTCTTATCAGTTTTTGCCTGGCCTGGCATCGCCACCTCCCAGCATGCAATGTACCGGCATCGCATGTACCGGCGGGCGGGCGTCCGTGGTTGTAATAGTGTGAGTCTGCCCCTGACGGCGTTCTCACACCTGTCAGCGAAGCCCTCGGATGCCGGCACGTTCCCACAACAGTCCCCTGGCACACTCTCTCCTCCCCTGTTGGACTGAAATGAAAGGATTAGTTCTCCGCTCCTTTTGTGTTATCGTTGCTAGAGATTGACCAAGTAGCTTTTAAAGTCACTTATTGACAGACTTGGCCGGTGCTCATTTGAATACCTGTTAAGTCAAAGAGGCCCCATTGTGGTTCCACATTCCTTGAATATGTTGGTTCAGCCGGTTTAGGGTCAAAATCAAAAGCTGCATTTAGAGGAAAATGAATCGTACAAGTTCAGCTGTCAAACTCGAGTCCGCTATCCAGACATTTTTCATACCATGTCCCGTTTGTGTAGGTCCCCGCGGCCCATTACGGTCTCAACTAATTCAGCTGCAGCATGTCGGACGTTTTCGGACTACGACCTGTTTTTCATAGACGGTGTGACTTGGTTATTTTCAAGATTCATCCCTTCATTCCCAGAAGAAATAGCGTGCAGCCATCCGGTGTTTCGCATTAGCCACATTAGGCTTTTGGATTTGGAGGATCAACTGAATTTGTTTGCAAAGTGAGCCGCTTACTTCCTCTCCTCTAAATTTCCATCTCGTAACAGTACAAACACAATATTGTCTTAGATTCACGCACACTTACTGCACAAACCGAGGACAGCCTCCCTTCCTCACTCAGTCGTGCTTCGACTTGAGGACAACGGCTGTTTTAGCCTTTCAGACTGACAATAAAATCATCTCCTATAGCAAAGACACAGTGAGCTCTACCCTGTGTTGATCCTGTGGTCAGAAGCCCATTAACATTTCATGAACTTTGAGAGCACTCTGCTGTGAATAGAAAGTGTGCAAATGGGATTCTATGGGCATGCTGTGTGCATTTGTGTTCACGTTTGTGCGTTTTACTTGCCACCCAGCGCATGTTCGTGTTTGCAGTTACTCCCGCCAGAGAAAAGGCCTCCACTCCCTCTGTGCTCTCCCCTCGCCGCGGCTCCGTACCCCATAGTGAGGGTAAAAATAGCACCCTGCTCGCACATAGACAGCCCTCTGTGTGTAGGAATCTGGAGACGTGGGGGCTGTAACACACAGGAAGCGGCTTTACTGCCAAAGCTGTTACTGCAGATATTTTTTAAACTGGTCAACGCAACGCGTTTGGGGACCAGCAGTGGACGGAAGGGTGTGTTTGTGTGTGAGCGGGTGGGCGGTTGGGTTGGTGAGGCCACGCTTGTGTCTGTGCGTGCATGTGCGTGTGTGTGTGTGTGTGTGTGAGTGAGGGGGCTGTTTTTGGACTTGAAGCTCCTCAAAGGGGCCCTATGTGCTGCTATCAGCCTGTGGGACTCTGGGATTGGCAGCGGAGCCCAGAAACAAAGCAGTTTGTTCAGTTCCTGGAAGGCCAGTGAACAAGTGTCTCAGTCAGAGTGCATGACCAATGCGTGGAGAGGGGACGAGAGGGGAAGTGAGGGTTTAGGTATGTGCGTGACCGAGCCGTATGGAATGGACGGATATTACACAAACACATACAGCACAAATAGTCTGCGTTGGCTACACAGATGTTTTTATTTAAAGTGTATTATTGAAGTTTCGAAAGCCTCTCTTCTCATTAAGGTGTCACCTCCTCCACGCTGCAATGATCGTGTGAGTGGCCCGGAGGCAGTGAAGGGCGGAGGAAGAGGAGCGCGTGTTGGTTCAGGTCCGGGGGACCGGCCTACATCAGTGCGAGGTTATCCTCGGGGTTAAAACCATACTCTCGCGTGTGTTCAGGCGGCTGAGGGCGACTCCATGACCCTGCTGATGGAAAAGTTAGATCACCTCCATGAGGAGATCCAGGACGTCCAAAGCGCTGATTCCAATGCTGAAGAGGAGCAGCAGAACAACGCGGTACGTCAAGTACAGTTAAATCATGTCAAGTGTGATTCAGTTATATGATGCTTGAACCGGCTTTCTATATGAATTATGATAGAAACGGCTAACAAACGATTAAATGAACAAATGAGCAGTCCAATCATAAAGATGAAGTCCAGATGTTGTGTGGATGGTGAATCAGATTGAAGTGGAGTGAATTAGACTTAAGATAGATATAAAACGGCAATTTAGCTAAATAAACAAAGTTCCATCTCTGGTTGCTTAGTAACATGCACACAAAAAAGTGAATCAATACTTAACATCACACCAAACACGGCGCACAGACTCAAACGTGAAGAATTTACCACTGAGTCGACATAACGTGCACCACAAACACGTTGGCACCACTTAGCGGAATGAGTTGCCGGTCGATCAGTCTCTCCCTTCTAAATAGTCGTAAATCAATTCAGGATGGGCTTCAAGCCGGCTGTTTTTCTGCCATTGAAGCTCTTCTTAAAATTTCTGACTCGACCGGCCTCCATCTTTAAACAGCATCAATCCTCCCGGAACTACGGGTCTCGTAGTGAGAGCGTATCTTCCTCCAGATTATCATTGCGTTAAAGCTTTATTTAAAATAACTTCTGGACGGAGGCTGTGGCCACCTCCTGTGCTTGGCTCCTCTGTTCTCCTCTCACATTACATTCCAGCTGCCTCGTTCTTTTTCTCACCAAGGGAAAATCTGGTAACCTCAAATAGCTCTTAAACCAACAGCACAGAACTTTAGGAATTCTTATAAAAACTCTGCGTTGAATCAAGCTAATCTTAATCAAACTGTCTGGCGAGCCGGTAAAAAAAAGCGTTAAAATAGACACTTTTAAGTTTGTGTGTCATGTTATACATCAGGTATTTTTATGAAACGCTGAAGCAACTTTTATATGCAGTGGGGATATACTGTATGAAGCACTTCATCCGGGTAAAAAAGGTGATACAACACAATGCAATGATCAATAAAACGACAAATCAATGATGACGTTCAGTTCTGCTGCCTGAATTGTACTGAAAAAGAAGCAAAGAGACTTTTCATCCCGAGATTTAAAACAATTTATAGGGTAATAAAGATAAAATGACTCCAGCCCAGAAGGTAACGCCTGACTTGTGTCTTTTTTCGTCATTGACCAAATAACAGGCAGCAACCTCCGTGTATAAGTGAAGCCAATCCGAAACTTAATCAAAATGTTATTCTTTCCTTGACTATCAGGGGGAAACTCCTCCGATTCCATTGAAGAAGCCGGATTGTATTGAAGTCTTTGAGCAAATGACTGTACCTCTGACTTTACGTTCTTCAGTACACATGAGTTGATGGTTTAACCAACTAAGCATGATGTTCCTTATTAAATTATGGTCCCGAAAAAGACAAATGGAAAAAATGAAACTGGCTGGACTACCAAAGCGCTTTGTTCTTTAGTAATTTCTTGCCTCCAACTGCGTCACTTTCATGCCACTGAGTGCTGGAAGAACAACTGCGCCCCAAACATCAGAGGACATTGGCAAGAACTCCAGACGTTTTTTTCAACCAACTTCATGATTGCCAAATCTTCCCTTCAAGAGTAACGAGCGTGGATTGAATGTCAGTTTGAACCGCACTTTGTTTTTGTGGATAAGACGTCCTCGATGCAGCTTTCTAGCGGCGGCCGCATATTTACATCATAAGAACAGCATTATGCTGCTGTTCTTATGATGCAAACGCTCCACGGGGGCCAGAAATGGACTTTTCAACACAGACGCGCATTGTGTCTTGTGATGAAGGGAAAATGTGTCTCTCTGTTGGTGCGTTTGAAGGGTGAATTCTTGCATGCTGTCCGTGGAAATGTATGTCGTTCTTCCTTCGCTCTCATTTTCACACGCGTCCATCTTATCGGCTCAGTTCAGGGTACAGTTGTTGAGTCACGAGGTCAGGCAGGGACGGACTTTCCTGTATTGTGGAGTGGAGATAAAAACGGGATACGAGGATGGGCTGGCTGACGGGGGGATTTTTCAGAAAAGAGAGAAGGGCAGACACATCACCAGCAGTGTCTTATGACTTTAGAAACTCCCCACCAACGCCAGCTACGCTAAATACTGCACAGAAACCCAGCGGAGATACAGAGAGCTGAGGAATAGGAGAGGGAAAACAATATGAATTCAAATGTCACTAACCTGAAGGAACGGATATGGGAATAACATCAAGTTAATGATTCTTTACAGTTGATGATGTTATACAGAGGTCAACATGTTTCTGGGTTGAAGACCTAACATGGAAAAGAAATGGATCCCACTTCATTTGACTAATGGTCACTCAACTTGTATCCCTCATTAGTCTTGATGACAAAAGTCCCCTCAGCAGCTTTCGTCAACATGACAGGAACTCCCCAGTGGAAGTTTTTCCCGGAGATATTTAAATGTCCACTTATTCACTCTAACTCTAAGGATTTTTCCTTTTGATGCAATCGTATCTGTCAACTGCTGATTCCAAGTACAGCACTGAACTTTATTAAATTATTTTTACTGCAATTTGACGAACTAGCCAGAGAGATCATGCAATATAATAAGTCTCAGTCTCAATTAGCATGATAAGGTTTGGGTTTGAGCTTTATAAGCCCATTCTCTTTGCCCCATCCAACTTCTTCTTATCCGTCCTTGCAGGGGGCTTCGGTTGCGGGCGGGCCGGCGACTCCTGCGTCATCTCAGGACGAAGGAACCCCCGGAGCTGCGGAGAAGTTTGAGCCGCTGACCAGGCGGCGCTCCCGACCTTTGACCCGCAGCAGGCCGCTGACCCGCTCGTCCCTCTCGTCCCCAACGCATCTGCAGGCTCGACGGGTCAGGGTGAGCGAGGCTGTCCTTCTGTGGGGAAGATCCGGGAGTGTTTGCGATCTGAGAAAAAGTCTACCAGGTCTTTGTAGTGCGTTCTGAGGGAAAGTGTCTCAGGCTCAGTTTCTGCGGCTTAATCGTGGGCAGTTGCTTGTTTGATCTTTACGCTGCTTTGTGTAGTCTTAGCCTTACGCATTTTGCTTGCTTCTTTTTCTTTCAACCGTCTCTCGTCCTTCTCTCTGGGCTTCCATCCAGTCTGCATGTGCCCTGCTGTTGTGTAAATAAGGTGAAATGCAAAAGGATGAGACAGCTCTGCTCCATCCGGCAGAATGCGAGGTCATCTTTCTCCTGTGTCAGCACTGCGGCAACAGCCAACCACAAATGCAGCACAACATGTGCAACCGTCGGACAGACGGCGAGAGGTGCAGAGCGGGAGGGAAATGAGGGAAATGGTTTAATTGATATTTCATGTGTTGCCAACAATGGCAATTCCACTTCATAGGGTTTCTCCGAGCTTTCAATAACATCAGCAGGTCTTCATCAGTGGATGGACGCTCTGTTATTATGGCTGTTGGTTTAAAAGATGGTTTCAGCTATTTGATGTGACAAAGACATCCGGCAAACCGTCACTTCATATGCCAGTTTTACGTCTTTAAACCTCTTAAAGAGATGGCATGCCTATGCAGAATATATCGGTGCAGGCCTTTTGCCAAGAGTCTTCGCTTTTATTTCCTCTGTCAATAGTCTAGATATTGAATATTTGCGTCATGCATTGTTGCTCGTGGATTTTAGTGCTACTGTTCTTGATATTTTTCCAATTTAATTAGATGTCAGTGGGTTTTCAAACGACATGTTTTTCACATTTCCAATTTCAATAAATTCTGTTTGACATTCAAACAAATGAACTGCTGGGGCTTTGCGGGTTTTACTATCATTGTATAACTGTACTCACTTAAGACATATTTTCCTTTTGTAATTGTGCGTTGTTTCCCCGGTGTAGCTGCTGCTGTGAGAGTGAACTAGGGTAACTGAGTCTTTGGCTGAATTTTATTGTCCAGTGCTCATGTCAATCCAGGGGTGTTTGTGTATTTTTTGCTGTTGTTCTTACTGTGGTTTATTCTCTTTTTTTTCATGTCAGGCTGCTTCCAGGATGACCAGTGGATCTGCAGGTATGTGGTTGGAGGGGTGAAGGAGGTGGTGGGGGTGATGGGTGGGGGGGGGGGGGTGTTCTTGTGTGCATTCAGTATCCATTCGGTTTGCCTGTTTGCATTCCTGCTTTGGGATATTTTGGGACGTCTCCCACATGATTCCCAGCCAGTATGACAAACCTCAACCACCCAGAAGGATTGATTTCTATTAAAGAACATGCAATCTTTGCCTGTGCACATACACAACACATGCATATTCAGGTGCACAAACAAAGATATGTGTGCAAGTTCAAACAAAAAAACAAATAGTTTATGCTATGAAGTTTTGGTTTGGTGGAATGTGTTGTGTTTGGAAGCTTATCTTACTTTACACCACAATTAAAAAAAAAGTTTTCCCCACTGAGAAAATCAGTGGTTTTAAAAAGAACATTAATGAATTTTTGGTTTTGTTTGGTGATTGAATTTTTTGCCTTTTTTTTTTTTTTTACTTTTCCCTCTGGGACGCAAGTTCTCAGAGACGATGATACGAGAGTCTGAGGAGATGATTAATGAGTCCAACTCTGACCTCTGTCCATATCTCTTATCCTCAGCTTCCCTTTTTGACTGACATGCACAGGCGTCATGGCAACTGTAGTTACCGACGTCTCCTACGCTTGCCGCGCTGCGGGATTGTTCATTTTTGTATGTTTTCGTCTGCATGTGCGTGTTTGTGTGTGTCTGTTTGTGTACATGTTGGGTTGTTTCCAATGGCCACGACGAGGAGTCACATTACTGTCAATACTCCACGGAGGAGAGGTGCATTCTGGGTAATTGGACCCCAGAGTCTGCGAGAGGTCAAAGGTGGCACGGTTACTGGCGTACTACGCGGTTGAATGTTTGTGTGTGTGTGTGTGTGTGTGTGTGTGTGTGTATGAGAGACAGAAACATTTCATCCAAACACTGCAGCACTGAGCTGTTTGGGCTTTCGGGCTTTTTGGGTTTGTTTTTTCTCTATAGAGTGTTTATTTTCTCCTCTGATATGAGGAAACAAGTTAGCTGTTTGACAGAGATCCTGTTTAATCCGTCACGTGTGTGTCGGCCTGTGTGGGCCGTGTCTCATGTGCAAAGGCACAGGATACGACGTGCACGTATCTGTGCTCACATAGCTGACGTTCAGTCTGCTCCCCGCCAGATAAACAGGGAATTCCTCTCAAGGAGATTAAACCAGAAGTACTGGTGTTCATACATGTGTTCTCTGCGGGGGGGCGGGGGTCGGTCATCTCATCAGGCTGGAGGTTTTTGTAATCATCCACTGCGTGTACCTTTTGATGTTATTTTTTGTGTATGACGGAAGGCACGGCATGACGGTGTGTGGTTTGAATCAAACTTGTCCTGAGGAAAATGTTTAATCCCAGCAAAGGATTTATTTTTGAATACATTTTTTTTCCCGAGTAGTTAAAATACAACAGTGGTGAATTGTTTTATAAATGCTTGAACACTTGATTTGCATTTTAGTGATTTCTTCATCTTATGGTCACATAACAGATGAAACCTAAACCCTACTACACGTGCATGGAACCAATTGTTTTCCCCTTTTAAAAACGTTTAAATGGATCCGTCGTGGGTAAAATGCATTTATTTAAAAATAACCGCATTCTGCTTTTTAAATGCTTACTCCTGAAACAAAGGAGAGACCGCCACATCTCCTTTGATTCATCTGTTGCGCTACAGAAGGCATCACTACTACTTCGATGTACTCGCTACTCAAAGGTATTTTAGAAGAGTGCTGCCATTCTAGAGCAGCTGGTAAGCCTCAAATGACCTTGGCATGAACCAAACTCACGCTAACACACATTGCGACACTTATTTACTTACTTACAGATTATTAAAAAACAACATGATTTAACAGATTTTTTATGTTATTGGAAAGTGTTCAGACAGGCTGTGTGTAATCTCGATTTATAGCGCGTGAATCCTTTTAGTGTGTCCCTCCGCATTTCTTTAAATAGATTCTTAATATGCCTGACTGTTGAGATTCGACTGTTTAAGAGCTCAAGCACACTTCTGACAACATTTCTCGATGTTTAACCCAAAGGTTTTTCCCCTTGTTTGTAAATTCCATCCCTTCACTGACATTTTCTTTTAACTTAAAAGTAAAAAGTGCAGAGGGTTTGGTCCTCCCATGTATCTAAGGATGTCAAAGGTGTTTATATATCTGTGTGTGTGAGACTAAAGAAAACTTCCACCGCTGTGCTATGCATAAAATACCTCACACAGAAAAACAGTTGGCTCAGCAATTAACTTGCAATAAACCTTTATTAGCTTAATTACGGTACCTTTTTGTAGTGTTTTTGCGTGTGTATTGTTAGCTGTGGTGTGTAGTCGCTGCAGAGTGCACACATTAAGGCTTTGTTATGCAAGGAGGTCCCTTATTAGCTCTGAGGTTAGTTAGTCAGCGTATGTGTGTGTGTGTGTGCATGTGTGTGTGTGTGTGTGTGTGTGTGCGCAGCACTGCTTTAAAGTCTGGAAGTGGATTTGGCTGAAGTCCCAGTCTTCCATCACCTCACCCTTTTCATTTTTCCTCTGTCTGTCTGCCCTCTGCTGTCTTTTCTGATTGTTTAAATTGTAACCCAACCCCCCCAGAGAGAGTTTTATTTTCCCTTTTTCTTCAGTGTAGTTGTTTGCTTTTTTACATATTTCTGTCTCCCTAAATCTCTTCATCAATCCTGTATTGCAAGGACAGGAAATCGCATTAATACACAAAGAATCACACTTGTACTGTAAATCTACGGTATATTGCTACTATCTCAAATGATCTAGCCGCAATTGTAAAATCCCAAATTATCATTTGACTTTTTATTAAACTTACTTATCAACACACACAAGCTGTAAATGCTGACATGTTAGTGTCTTATAAATCTATTACGGGGGATCAGGAAAAAGACTGAGCAATATTGAAATTCATTTGAAGATACGTTTGTTTTTGCTTAAAACGTCAAATGTTTGGATGCAGTGACTTACGCTACTAAATGCTCTGCAATGTCCACCAGCTAGTTTCTCTTTATGCGGCTGGTTAGGCAGCACGCTGGTGTATTTTAGAGCTTTGTCCCTGATTGCCGCTGTCTACTACGGATGGAAACAACACAGTAACCAAAACAGTTACAGGCCATAAAACCAAAACAATGCGCTGAAAGATTGTAAAACCGTGTTTGTGTGTAGATGACACACATATGAGCGAGTATTTGTGAGCTCCTTGCAGTTGTTTGTTTGTGTGTGGTCCTGCAGCCCCACACCAGCCCAGAGAAAAGACTTGAGGAAGGAGGTCGGTCCTCAACGACTTTCCTTCTAAAATGCTTTTTTTTTTTTAGCATCTGAAAATCTCACTTATGTGTATATTGCCCTTTTTAAAATGAGACACCCAGCAACAAGTCCTCCTATCACCATGTGATTTGCACTCCAATGACCTGAGGAGTTTCCTGTGCAGCCATTAGCTATTGTTTCCCATCCCGGCCCTGCTGCTTCCATACCATACCTCGGCTTTCACACCCAGAGGTCTTTCTGCAAATACAATGTCGACTCCACCCTGTTAAGTTCCATACTGTCCACCTCAGTCCGCTTCCCAGAGCCACACCCGGGTTGCATCCTCTCTCCTCCTCGGCTCCCCGGCCTCAAACAGCTCACAGCGATAGACGTCTCCTGCTGAAGGCATCGGGGAGGGAGTCTGAGGGGAGGACATTCGGCTTCGGCACCTGAACCACTTTCCTCACGGCCCAATTTTCGGATGGATTTGACCAGAGCAGCATCCCGTCTTTGATGTGATACTCTGGTGCACGAGTGCTGCAAGGGTTGTGTTAACAACATCTAAATGCTAAATTATTGTTTCGTTTTTTAAAGTAATTGCTCTATGATTAAGGATATACTTTTTTGTGCAAGACTATATTCAGTTTAGTTCTTTATATTTCTTATCCAGAAGCAAACTTATCTTTTCCAAGAAGTTACTATTTTGCCAAATATACAGTTTCAGCCTTTGTTGTGTTGCCGAGGGCAACGAACACCATCACAAGTGAACTCATGAACAGATGTTGGAATTTGAATCCTGCAGCAGTGATCTTGGAAATGCTTCTTGGGGAAGTGAGCACATGGAATTACTATGTGAATCATTGTATGTGTATGTTTGTGTATGTATGGTTTTGTGTGCTCTCAGGGATCACGTGATCATAATGTGAGGTTAAGAATTAAGGTCGAGGTCACACGGTGCCATCTGTTCAATAGTTTCATTTCATCGTATGGTTTTTCCGCTCGCAGAGCATTTACTTGAGAAATGCTTCCATCGTATGAAGATTCTTCCCCCGTCTGGATTCCTCTTTTGTTTAGACATTTGGTTTTGATTGTAGTGCAACCAAAGATCGCAGGTAAGCAGTCGTTGGGGGGAACATGCAGCACAAGGGCCGGCGGTTTTATGCATGCGTGTGTGTGTTTCGGTCTCAAGCGGTAGAGCTCAGTGAGTCGAGCCGCGTGGCCTGAATGACTTAGTGTTTCTGAAAATAGAACGCAGAGCAACCACGGAGACCGCGGAAGGGATGAGGAGGAGAAAAAATGAGCAGGTACCTGAGGAAGAGGAGGCGGAAAGGGAAAGAGGTTGCAGCGGAGCAGACACAGGAACTCAACAAAGCCGGGAGAGAAGAGTGCGTTGGACGAGATGTGGGTGTCACAGTCTCACAATCACTTGTCCTGTTAAATCATTGGTCAACCTGAAATCACCAACCCAGAACCGGCCGGGATGCTGGAAGTTTCTTGTTCAGAATGAGAAATTCATTCAAAATACATCCGATAATGGCGTTAATTAATTCATGCATTCCCCTCATTTTTTGTGTGTGTGTTGAGTTAATGATGTTTAGGCGGATTGCTGATGAATCCTCTATAGCTATTAGAGACAGATACTACTATAGAAGGCCATGAGCATCTTTCTTTCCAACGTTACAATTTGAAAAGCTGAAAGAATTTGAGAGGGAGAAACTCCTCCTCCTGCTGCAGATTCTCCG